ATCCTGCAGTCTAGATAGATAGAAAGACAGATACATGTGCAGTTTCCCAAAAAATAAAAATAAAATAAGAGGAGGCTGGGATTGTTGACAAGCAGTGGCAACAGGTTTCATTCGTCACTGCTGCACCATAGAGCACATTCTCCAACAGACTGATTCAATACCACAAGGACAGATACAATAAATCTTTTATGCCTCGTGCAGTATCTCCACAATGCAACACATCTGTATAGCGATGAATCATCTGTGCTTCAACAGTTTATTTCTACCCTGTACTGTGCGCACGACTTTCATTACAATATACACTGTAAAGTTTTTACGTAAACGTAAACGTATTCATTAGTAAGCATTTTAAATTAAGTTTTATTTTTGCTGTGTTAAATAGATATTTAACATATATTTTAAATGGAGATATTTTTCTTTAACATATTGTTATTAATAATACTTTATTAATATTGTTATTAAGTTTCATCTAATCTCTAATCTAATTTAATTATTATGTAATAATACTTACATATTTGGGTTCATATTTGTTTTGCCATGTTGCATATAAGCCAAAAATAATGGCATTTATATTCTATAATATTTAAGCTATTTTGCCATTTTTGTTGTCTCGAGCTAAATTTTCAAAACCTTTGGAGTAAAAAGGATCGACTGTTTACCTTTCCCTAACCTGGAGAGTTTTAACATATGCAGGGTTATGTTATTTGTAACTGGATAGACTTGGTTTGCAGTATGTCAACCATTAAAATTCGCATAGCATCATTACAAAGCTATGATTTGTTCATCTGACTAATAGTTGGTGAAACAAAGCTGTTTTTAAACCTTATTGCTCTGCACTCTGAGGCCAGAAACCTCCATCCAGCAGAAAGAAAGTAAACGTCGTTATGCAAAGGGTGCAAAACAAACCAGCTATCAGCTGTAAATGTCTTGTACACAGCACAGGGATGCTGAGTTCAGCTGTGAATCACCGATCAGCTGTTAGACCTTTAACAATTTGATCACTTCGGTATTTATTGAAACAACTTGAAAATAGCATTGTTTCATCAGCTGCATTTTGTCCTACAATCGCAGCCTTTTATATAAAATCAGTCCAAATTTACCTACAAGTCAACCTTACTGTGTCTAGCTGCTTGAAGTTCTGTTCAGTTGAATGATATGGTGGAAACCTACACTTTATTTTATCCTGTACTTGTTAATGTTACACAGTGTAGTATGCTGTGATGGCTAAAACACAAAACAAGGGTAGATATTTGATGGAAATTCTAATTTGGACTCACTTTGCACTGTTGAAGTGAAATGTGGCACGGTGCATTCCTTACACATTCCTTACAGGCTGTATACCCCTGGATTTATTGTATTTTTTCATAATTAACTGTTCATAGGAGGCTGGTGATAAACAAAAGTATCAAATTAACCGGATCTGTTGTTGGACTTGAAGTTTTCATCTTAAAATGGCCAGCTGATTTTCACCCCTGTTGCCTTAAAGAAGAAAACCACCCTCATATATTTTCCTATTAAAAACAAAGAGTCCTGCTGATCAAAACACACGTTGCTGTTCAGGTTCACCACAGTGAGATAAAAATCTAAAAAACAACCCAATAACTACAGTACTGTGCAAAAGTCTCAGGTCACAACTCATTTCTTCTTTGCTTCCTAGGAGTCAGACATTCTTTAAATTTTTCTAAAGTGGCCTTAAGCAATAGTTCTTCAGGCTTTCTGGTGGAGTTTTAAAGTTTTCTTTGGACACTGGCTGCTTCTTCAGTCCTACCTGATCATTTTCAGAGGAATATTTTCTTGTTTCTTTGTAAAGCCACTTAGTACTGATCATGGAATCATTAGCATAAAAGATGTACCTAAGACATGAGCCAGTGTTTTAGCTACACATAACAAACAACTTAGTTTGGCGGTGCAACAAGCTGGCAACCTGTCCAGCATGTACCCAACCTGTCATCCTATGGAAGCCGAGGACATCTGACTTCTTAAATTCAAATGAAGACACCATAAGTATTCATCTTAATGTGGCATGACTGATCAGCAGACAGACGTAAGTTGAATAAATAAAAGTTTGCCTCCAAGTAACTAAAAAAGTGCAAAAAGTGTAAAATCATCCCCAAGTCTATTCCACTTGATGAAATTGGCTCTCATGTAGGTCAAACCAAAAAAAGAAAAACTAGAAATTCCCAGTTACAGAGAAGTTCCGTCTGCTTTACCATCCTCGTCCATTAACAGCGCCTCAGATTAGAGCCCACATCAAAGCCTCCAGAAGTTCAAATAGCAGACACATTTCATCAGCTGTTGGAGGGAGACTGAGTGAATCAGGCCTCGAAGGTGGAGCCAGTACTGAAGGAGACCAGTATGAAGAAGAGAACTGCTTCAGCCTGGAAAAATATGACTTGACAACTGACCAATGTGAATCCAGACTTCAGCCTCATGAGTTTAACTGTGCTATTTTTGGTACCAGGCACATTATCTTTGTAAAATAAAGGAAAAGAGATTGGATTTCCATGTGTGGCCCTCACTGTGAGGCACAGGGGACATTAAGACCACAGTCACGACTTAAATCCAGTTGAGTTAATTTGGGAATAGTTGAAAAGCAGCCAACAAGTTGTGCTCGGCTTATGAGGGAACTTCTACAAGAGTGTTAAGAATGCTGTATACAGAAAGAGTATGTAAAGCTGTTAACAAAGCAAGAGATGGCAACTTTGAGGAATTTAAAATGCAAAACCTACTTTTGCTTTATTAACACTTACAACTGATTATTTAACAGTAATACTTTATTGTGAAGTATTACCATACAACAAAAGCGGAAAGCATAAGCACTCAGAACCTTCTGCAACAACTTAACGCTATTACAAAGAAAACATCTTTATGAGAAAATGGTTTGGTTTTTTTTACATCAATAAATCACACGCACCACAGAAAAGCTCTGTTTAAAAGATTTACTAATGAAAAGTTGAATATTAAAAACAATGGAGCAAGTCATGATTTGTGTATATATTTTTCTGCGGAAGCGAACAAGTTTGAACATTGAGTCGTAAAGAATCATCCATAAAGGGAAAAGTACAGAAAAATAAAACAAACATACATAAACCCATCCAGAACATTTAGAAATACAGTTTTAAATAGTGCAATATAAAGTAAAGTGAATCTAGCTGCTTGATCTCTACATCTACAGTGTATGAAGCAAAGTGTATGAAGCAAAAGAGTGGGTGACCATGAGCTCTCTCAATCACACCCAAAGGCATATAAAAGCTCACCAGAGGGATGTGGGTTTGGGTGATGTGACAATAATAAAGAAACATTCATCTACCCACTAACTACCACTGATTTTGCTAAACTGCTTATGGTACTGTGCCTTTTCTTTTAAAACTGTATGTCTGGATGTATCACAGCATTGGAGGGAAAGCTGCAAAT